AAAAAAAAAGAATGATCACAATAAATGCTATCTCCCATAAAAAAAAATTTTTTTCACAGCATAAAGTGTTCTCTGTGGTAAATACTGAACTCAAAGAAAGTTCAAATGAATTAGTATGGCAACAATATCTAAGCTTTCCATTTTCTTTCCAATGAAAGTAATGTTCAAGTGAAATATGATACATACAGATTTATTGATAGGTATTTTATAAGAGTAAACCCCAAAATTGTAATTGTGGCTAAAATATTTTAATCACATTAAAATTTTCCTCTTAAGAGAAATGTTAACTGTTTATTATCCTACATTGAAAAATGTGCTGTATATATAACAAAGAAATAAAAACTTCCTCTTACAGATATTAGAAAAGAACTTCCAACTTTAAGAACAGCTTTCATTTTCATATCACCTATGCTTAGAGGCAGAAAAGGAAATAAAAGTCATAAAATTGAATGTACTATTTTTTAAAAACCCAGAAGAATATAAAGTAGTAAAAGTCTTACCAATTCCATGACTGCATCAATACGTTGGTAGCTATTTGAAGCCATGCTTCAAGTATTTCGTTTGTGAAAGTTCTAAGATTTTATATACTATATATTAGGGCAAAGTGTACAGAAATGCACTTAAATTATTTGATCATAGTTGCAGTTTCTTTGGGAAAGCCTATAGAATTAGTTCCATACAATATACGGTATTACTATTTCCTCTTCATAGCTATAATTACTTTTTTTCTGTGCACTCTATCAAATCTTAATACAACTTTTTCATCTCTGCCATTTTACCTCAATAAGTTTTCATCCTCTTAATGATTGACCTATTAAATTCATATGATTATTATAATAGCAATGATTGCTAGTCACTCAAAAATTATATATTTTTGGAGAGTACTATTGTCCTATGAATTATTTTTATCATATTTTTATAGCAGCATAAATGCCACATTGGTTTGCTTGACCTTGAAAATCTCACACAGAATTCTTTCCATTTGTTAGCAAATACCCAACAAAAATTATTTGCATTCACTTAAGGCAGTAACTTTACAAATGCCTACTTTATATCCCAGATCAATTTAACCAAGCCTACAGAAATCAAATTTGTTTTGTTATAAAAACTTCCCCACATTTGCTGTGTTTTTTCCCAATGCATAGATTCAATGTAGGTCAACTACTTTTAAAGCAAGAGTCAATTTTATCCAGTCAAGCGCTACAACTTTTCTTAAAAGAGGTTTTCTATTTTAGGAATAATAGACTCAATGAATATGGAAAAGCGTTTGAAAATATTATTGATAGAAAATAATATTCAGGCACCAGTGTGTTACCATGTCATAGTGTATAAGAAATGCACATCAAAGGAAATTCAGTTAATGCTAAAATAACAATTCATGGATTAGCTATACCCCTTAACTGGAAATATTACAGTATAAACTGAAGTCAACGAGATTAAAATTACAAATTCCAAACTTCCTGAATCATGCTGCTCCAAATGATTAGTAGTCCACATGTCATGATTGAATTATATGTTGACATCTAGGATGTGTTATTCAGGATTGGTCTAATTGTACCAGGATGGGTATGTGGCGCTATTAGATTTTTTATCTCATTTTTAGTTATGAAGCATATTAAAATTTCAGGAATAATGCTTATCAAGTCCTGCTTGTAACATATAATCTAGCATTCATTAATATAATGAGAGAGTTTGGGATATGTCCCAAAATCAAAACATGTCTTGAAATAAAACCTTGTGCAGTTTGGGGGGGGGGGGCGGGATCTAGCAATGCTATGGCTATACTGCCCTCTAGTGGTGAAATGACAGGTGTTTACATAGAAGTTCCCGTGTCTTTTTCAGATCAGTATTTTCATGACTCATTTGTCCAACTATGGGAATGACCGACTGGGATTATATACATTTGTTAATCTGGCCAACTTTGTACAGACCTGGACCAACCTGCGTCTTCAGACTCTGCCTCCAGTGCAACTAGCTCACAAGTATTTTGAGCTGTTTCCTGATCAGAAAGACCCTCTCTGGCAGGTAAAAGTGGTTTAATAATTGATACAACTAATTAATTCCACAGACATATTTTATAGTTCCGTAAGGTAACCCAACTCTGAAAACTGAAGGGATTTGAAAAAAACTGCATTTTCCTATTAGTTCCTGAATTGTAGTCTTAAATTATTAGTACAGTTTGAGCCAAATTTTCTCTTCCGTTGACAGTTATAAATTATAGAATTTTCAGGGAGAGATTCAATTTATGTAATGTTTTCATCAGGAGTGAGACACAAAGTTTCAGGTTCCAATAAGTTGAAAGGATAGAAAATGGTAAGTGGGTTGTGTATAAGCAGAGAGCCAACTGGTTAGCACTGAATACATCAGCCATGTCTAATAACTAAACCACATGAGAGGGCCTCTGAGAAGAACTGAAGACTGACATCTGCCTCTGAACCATCATATATACCAGCAGTCACAGAATATGAGTTACATTCTGAAATATTAGCTGGGAATTACTTGGGACATGAATGGTTTATAAATAAGTCATTGAGGTTCTAAAGAGAAAATATAACATTAATGTGACATATTCCAACTGTTCCAGGGATAATCTACATTTCAAAGTATAGGCTCATGTATTATAGAATTGTGGAGAATACTTCAACTAAAATTGCCCACTACCATCTGTGGAAACTAAAAATTTTAGCAAATAATTACAAAGTACGTAACTATATATTACACTAAGCACTTTGTATGTTAATTTGATTAATCCTCACAAATACCCTGTGTAGTAGGTACAGTTATTATTCTCATTTTATAGATGAAGATACTAAGGTACAGAAAGTCCAAGTCAGTTAAGCAAGGTCACACAGCCACCTGTGGCAGAGCAGGAACCAGTTCTAGGCTGTCTGGCCCCCAAAGGCTGTGCTCTTAGTCACTGTTTTAAGTGGCCAAAAAGTAAAAATATTTAGAAATAAAACAATAAATTTCACAAATTGAAGTTGTGATAAATTTTTAACTCGATATTCAATCCATTCAGCTTTGAACTGTAAACTAATGACCTTAGCAACAAATAGATACTTCCAAGAAGAGACTCAACATGTATTTAGCAAGTTAAAGTCCAGGGTTTATGGCAGAATATTATTTTCCAGTTGTTGTAACAAGCATCTTAACTACTACCAAACATTACCAAAAGTTAGCAACCAGAAAGGCATGCAATTTTTCTGGTAATTTATCACTGTATTTTTAAATTGAAATCATTATTATTGCAGGTGACAAGCTTAAGACGATTTTTTTCAGAAAAGCAGCCAAAAAGATTACCTTCACTTTACTCTTAGCTAAAAATTAGCAGTTTATTTAACTTCACATACTGCAGTATTAATTGACTAGAAATAAAAAGTGGTCCTGTGTGCCCATTCTTAAAATAGGATTAAAGAGTACCACAATTCTTTCCATTTTTCTACATAATATACACTTCGTATTTAAAATGAAGAGTTTTCTAGATATATCATGCACAGTGGTTGTTGGTTTTAAGTACTATAGACCAAAAGTAGAATCCCTAAAGTAGTAATTCACCTCATTTTACCCTTTTGTTTAAATTTAGTACTTTCAGCATCATAGTCTTTAATGTTACCTTTTGTGATATACATTTATGACCTTTGAAGGCATCTGAAAGGAATCAAGTGTCTTTAAATAGTATTAATGTGGCTAGATCCCTATCCCTGTGAAGCACAGCAGTATAGTTCAAAGTTACTTAGAAAACAATTGATGCCTTGTACTTCAGTTAGTTATTAAATATTAAGAGCACATCTCCTTTTGGGTTAACAGGAAGTATATCTCTACTCAGCAAACTCACTATTAAAAAATACTAAAACATACAACTGCCAGTAACAGAAAAATATTTAGCTCTCAGTACTATGAGGCTGTTTGCCCAAAGTAAAAATATCTCCTCTCTCCCACCTCCTCACTTTTAACTTCAGGGAAGAAAGATCTAAATCGTCTATGACGCCACTTCAGGGATTTCCTTTTTTTTTTTTAAAGAAATTTGTTGTTTGTTTCATTGTTTCCTGAGATATCTTATAAGGACAAACGTTGGAAATACTAGCACACAATGGACACACAAGAAAAAATACATCTCTATACTCTTCTTCAATTTTTAGAATCCATGCGATGACAAACGCCACAGAGACATTTGGTCTAAAGAAAAAACCTGTGATCGCTTACCAAAATTCTTGGTAATAGGACCCCAGAAAACTGGTGAGAACTTTTAATGTTATGATTAAGCAAATAGGGTAAAAATACAAATAACTACACAATGAATTGTCACAATGAGTTCTTAAATTTCCTATAAAGTATAATGAATACTCTATAAATTAATAACATGTTATCCTCTGATACGATCTTTATTTATCTTGATAAAGTCTTTAAGTGCTTTGTCAAAGTGTTTTTTTAGGTGAAAAGCATGAGATCGTTGTCACATAGTTTGAATATCCAGTTTGGTGCCACATGTTATTTTTTTCCAAAGATCTTTCTTGAAAAATATCTTAACATTTCTAAAGTCAAAACTAGTCACATGTTTAGAAAGTAACTGACAGGATTTTCTCAAAAGTCAAGAGGGACACATATAAGTACATAGAACTCTATAATAAATCCCTTCTATGGGCTGGGGATTTAGCTCAGTGATTTTGTCGCCTGCCGTGCAAGCGCAAGGATCCAAGTTCAATCCCTGGTACCCAAAAAACAGTAAAACTTTGCTTCTATAATAAATCCCTTCCAGAAAAAAAATAGTCTCTTACCCTGCCATCTTCCTGATATGTTTAATTTGTAAACTATTTCTTGCAGAGATAAGTATTTTTTAACAGTCTAAAATATATTTGACAAGCAGAATTTCTTGACATAAACAAAACTTTGTGCTAAGAAAGATCTTTATTCATACCCAGGAGAAATCTACTGCACCTTTTCTTAAATTGGTGTGCAATTTTTTCCCCATAAACTTCTTGTTTCTGTGAGAATCTGTATTAAAATGAAGGCCAGTGGAAGACATTCAAGCTGTATCCTGCATAATAAATTATTTGAGGCCCTGGGATTCTGGCTTCACAGAAAACAGCCATTTCAACTATATTGCTTGCTAAGGGGAATACATTTCCTCTCCTCATCTCTCTGGAAATAACTGAGGGGAATTCTACTCAGAGTACACAGACTCTACCCTATTCATTTCATCTTAGTTCCATTTGTAAATATCAATCTGAAAACAATAAGTATGACAAATATTTTTCTTGTCCTTATTTATTTCACTTGTCCTTATCTATCTGAAGTCAAAAGGCAACTAGGAAAACATTGAAGCTGAAGTCTCTTCAGTGAACTCCCACTGTCATCCCATAACCTTGTCATTACTGACCACGTCTTCTCTCTGACGCTTGGCTTACTAAATTTGCTTCTGAAAGCCTTGCCCAATATGCTTTGCCTCATGCTGTGCTGGATATACAGACAATTTTAATATCATGGTTAGATGGCAGAATTATTACTTGTCATCCTAAACTCAATAGAGTTTCCAATGTTTATGTTACTATCTGGATATGACATTTCCCTTTGGAAAAAGTAATAAAAAATGTTTTTTTATAGAAATTTATTTTCCCAGTTTTATTGAGGTATAATTTACATGAAATAAAATTCACTCATTTTAAATGTATGATTTGATGAATTCTGGAAATTGTACACAGTCACATAACCACCACCACCACGTTCAAAACCTAGGACAAATGTGTCCAAAAAAAGTTTATCCTCATCCTTTTGCAGTCAATTTCCCAATCCCTGCCACACGCACAACCACAGTCAACCACGTTCTGCCAGTGTGCTTTTACCTTTTGTAGATATTCATGTAAAATAGAAGTCAGTGTGTAGTCCTTTATGTTTAACTTCTTTTATTTAGTATGATACTTTTGAGATTCATCCATATTGTACTTATAAATATTTTATGAAACTGATTTTTTAGACAGAAATATCTTCCCATATCAATTCCATGAGAATTAAATAGCTTTATGTTTAACTTTAGTTTTGTCAAAAGTATTTTCCTGGATAATTTTCCATAGATTTTTAGTTAACAGTACATTTAAACATTGTTCAGTGTTGAAAATGCAAAAAAATATAAAATCTGAATTTTTATAGGTGGCTTTTTAAATGTGTCCATCTGTGATTATGTAATTGATTTACCACTGACAAAAAATATGCATATGCATACCTACATACAATACAGGTTATTCACAGAAAAGGCTACACATAAAGATAGAAGTCAAAAATCACAATTTTATTTTTTCACCATCAGTAAATTACATGATGCCGGTTATAACTAAGCAAAGTAACAGATGATATCTAGTTCTTCAGTTTGTCTTATTAATTCTAGTCATGAAAGACTATTAAAAACAACATGTTTAATATAATTCCTAAAAATAAATTTCAGAAAAGAAATATATGTATTATATATTTCACCATAAATATTTATTGTTTACTGTTTACATAAAGGCATTATTTATTCTGAATTGTATCTCAATTACATAAATGCTATATAAATGTACTTAAAATAGTTCTTTATTATAATTATAAATTAAGTCTCATTGTTATCTTTAAAAATACCTCACAAATATTTAGAAATGGTACTGGTACTTCCAGATAGATTATCTCACTTAACCCTTATAAAAACTCTGATAGCTAAGTATTTTCTTCCCAGTACACAGATGAGAAAACTAAGACTCAGAGTTAAATAATTTTTATTCAAGTTCATACAGCTGGTAAGTACTGGAAATGAAACTCTTGACCCTAAGATTTGTCTGACTCCAAAGAATATGCTCTTTTTACCTTACTGTGGACCTCAAGTTATGAAAAAATTTCCTCCCAAGTTTTAGATATTTTTCACATTTCTTTTAACTCAGTGATTTTCAAAAGACAGTCATCAGGAGCATAAGCACCCCAAAGAACTTTTTAGGAGCACAAATTATTGAGGCTCTCCATAAATGTGTTGAATCAAAAATTCTGGGAAAAGGCTCAGCTCTCGGTGTTTGAACAAACTAGCTAGGTGAATCTGACATACCTTAAATTTTGAGCATCATTGTTCTAAGTCAAGCTTGTGAAGAACACTTTCACTTCATGTATCATAGAGTACTATATTTCAGTCCCTATAGTTTTATGATTATAAATAGTTTTCATCGTTTGGCTCAGATATAACCTAGAAACACTATCTCTTTCAGTTCACTTTTTAAACAATATTACTGTTGACAGTTAAGTACTTTAAATTTTTTTCTACTTTATAGGTGGATTTAAATAACAATATTAGAGAAAGATTACCAGAGAGATAAGAAAATTCAAAATTTTGTGCAAATGGCCAAGGACATTGTCACTAAGCAAAATTAGAACAATAATTCTTTCAAGTGAGAGAAATATTACACTGCCATGTTGGATTTCTCTTGCTGTCAACCTGGATTAACAGAGCTTGTTCCATCAGATAGTCTAATAATGCAAGTCACATTAGAGTTGGGAAGTGGAAACTATGAGTACTGAGTATATACAACAGAAGTATTTCTATATTATGGTCTTATTTGCACAGTCACAGTTTCAAATACACAGTTAAGTCTTTGACATACTGAACCCAAAGTGGCGAACTCTCTTCTGCCTGGCTAAGCTGCTCACTTTACCTCCTAATTAAGGCCAAAAATATTAATTTATAGCTTATTACATTGCCATTTCTTTAAAAACTGACACTCATTATCCCCAGTAGTCACTAATCTACATGGACACAGTGATACGCAGTTCTCTTTCCATTAAAATGCTAATTTGTAAAATATGTCTCTGAGAAAGGACACTAGTTTTCTTCAACTTCAGCAATTTAAATAATTTCACACTACTTTTTATAAGTATGTAAGCATGCTCAAATTTAGACACATTTCTTAAAAGATTAAATTCTGTCTTAGTTTCATTAGCTTTCATACGCCTCATAAAGAATTTTATATAAAAGCTCAATTTTCAGTTTTGGTAATATGATATATTAAAATGATATATTTCATTTATATTGTGCTTTACTAATATCATAAAATCTTCAGGTATATTATATCTTTTCATCCTTGGAGAAAATCTATGAAATAAGCAGTTAAGAAAACTGAGACAAAGAGAAGCTACAAGCCAAAAGTGCCGAACAAGTCAGTGATTGAGCTAAACTCAAAAGCTATTTCTCCCAATCCCTGCCACAAATCCCTTCTCACACAGTCTATCTCCAAGTTTTAGAAACTATTTTAGATGTCTGTTTTCTATTCAGTTTAAATCAAGGAGTATAGATCATGAATCTTCTTGGATCATTTTAATATTTAATTTATTAATGATTTTGAAATGCTAATGTTAGGAAACTATCTTTCCATTTTATTAATTTCTAAACCTGTATTGTCTTTCAGGTACCACTGCTTTGTATTTGTTCCTGGTTATGCATCCTTCCATCCTTAGTAACTCCCCCAGCCCAAAAACCTTTGAGGAGGTACAGTTCTTTAATAGAAATAACTACCACAGGGGGATTGATTGGTAAGATGGGTTATTAGTATAAATCTAAAAGTATATTTACTGTTCACAATATAAACTGAGTGCTAATGCTGAGAAACAAATAAATTTGTAACAGCAAATAAAAGTCACCTTTTGTACCTTGGAAACTGAATAACATGAAAGAGCTCAGAAATTATTCATACATTGAAAAGCCCAATTTTATACATACATTCATACATTTAAACCCTTGTCTATGAAGGGATTTGTTGCCTTTGATGGTAATTACAGATGTGAACTCAGAGAAATAATATCCATAAATTTTATTCCTCTCTATTCTTAAAAAAACATTTTCATGCCTTCCTCTTTTACATTTTTCATTAGGTGATGCTATGGTCTACATATATAGTTTTCTGTCTTATAGGGTATAAAAGGCAGAAAAATAATGTAAATAAAAATGTGCCTATATTTCATGAGAAATTAAAGCTATAAAAAAGCTATCAAAATATACAACTTTAATATTTACCTTTGAATTAAAATTAGAAATATATTAAGCATCTGAAGGAAATAGTTAAAAAGGAAAAATGTTAATATATATATATATACACAAAGTACAACAATATAATAGAAGTGAATAATAAAAGGTGACATGTTAACTATAAAATGTATCTAGAGATCTTGTTATTAAGGTATAATACTGGACAGAAAGTGATCTAAAAGAAAGATTCTTATAATTCTAGAGCATAAATATAAATATTTTGCAGTTATTTTATATGAAAAATCATGGATATTAACCTCTGTTGTCAAATTGCATTATCTCAATTTTATAATTATCAACCACTTCAAGAGTGACTTGTCAAGATCCCAATAATGAATGTAACTGTATTTTATACCTAAAATGTGCCAATAAAGTTAATGGGGAAAGAAAAAAAAAGAAAGAAAGTTTGAGTCCCAGCTGGACAAATTAGTGAGGCCCTGTCTCAGAATTTAAAAAAATAAAAAAGGCTTGGGGATGTGGCTCAGTGATAGAGCACCCCTGAGTTTGATCCCCAGGATGGGGAAAAAATACTATGGATGTAGCAAAAAGGCTAACGACTGGTAAATCTAGCTGAAAGGTATGAGAATACATTGTCCTGTTCTTGCAACTTTTCAGCAACTACAAAATATTTTTCAAAATAAAGGTTTTTTCCACAATGAATGTAAAAAAAAAGAGTGACTTGTCAGTAGTCTAAATGGAAAGATAAATAAATAGATTGAGTATAATTGAGCACCCACAAGACAAGAATTTACATACATTCTAATTGTTACATCTTTCACTGCTAATTTTCCTGCACAGTACTTGATACGAATTGTGTGGTATTAAATAACAGCAAAAAAAAAAAAGAAAGAAAGAAACCACCACCTATTTCAGCTGCTACTTGATCACTGACTCAAATATATATGCTGATATGTAGTAGAATGGAATATTAGCATCAGTACTAAAAGGAGTAATTAAAGACTTTTAGAGGTAGAGGCAGGTACAATATTTGAGTCACTGGAACCTAAAAAAAATGAAGGAATAATCATTTTGTCATAAATTTTATAAAATAAAATAAAAGCCAGTAATATGTAAGGCACTGTAATAAGAACAAAAAGTCCCTTACAAGGAGATGACATAAATAATTATAAAGCTAAAGCACTGAAAGTCTTTAAATATAACTCACTAAAATTACACCAAATACTAACATTTTTGATTGACAAATTATACAATTATAAAAGGCAATTAATGCAAATGAATAATTGCAACTGCAAATGTCAATTTACAATAGTAATTAGAGCTTACCTCTCAATAATATCAACTATAATCATAGTCCTCAGATTGCCCTGGCCTCTGTCTGAAACAGTCCTTCAGCTGTCTTTTTGGATCAAGGTTCCACAGAGTTAAAGATTGCATTTAAAAGAATTAATGTTTTAAAGTTAATTCCTGGGTCACTTAATCTAGACACAACTAGTTAAGTGAGATGGATGGATCTGGCTTTTTTTTTTTTTGGTACCAGGGATTGAACTAGGGTCCTTGCACTTGCAAGGCAAGTGACGGAACCACTGAGCTAAATCTCCAGCCCTGGCTTCTTTTCTTGAGAACTAGATGAAACTAGGGCTGCCTTAACTGACAAAAGGCTTAAGGTACAACCAAAGGAGGGCAAATGAGAATTAGAAATCTCCATCTTTGAAGACAACATCAGAAAAATGTTTGATTCACGCATGTTTCATGAATAGATTTTAGGTTTCATGGTTTGGTATTGTAATTTTTATTACATGGGGATGTAGTGGAGAGTTGGAGTGGTGTGGAGAAAGCCACAAAATCCTGTTAGCATTTAGAAACTCTAAAGTTGTAATCTGCTTTTGTGTTAAATCAATTATAATACTTGGGGCCAATACAAATAACAAGCAAATGTAGAGTATTGCAAAAAGCACATCTTTCAGGTGAAAAAATGTTGACATGTTATGATTTATTGAAGTAACAAAACTTAAGGGAGGCAGGTATTCACCTACAACTTACCTCCAAATAGTTAAACTGCCCTAGTATGTATGTCAGTACTTTGGATAGCCTAAACACGTATTCCCCAAGAGTGAGCCTATTTGAAGAACTTCCATATTCTCATTCTGGAAATATGACCAGAATATATATTACTTATGTATTGAGCAAACAGTACCTGTACGTACCAGCCCCTATACTAGAAAAAATGTGAACCTATTAACAGTAACTAGATTCTGCCCTTTTGTGAGCCACTGGAGTAGGGCAGGATCAACAGTTTAGGTCCAACATCCAGGACAACTCAGAGGTTTTTAGAGCCAAAAACTGTTCTTTAAACACCTTGGGGAAGGTTGGACAGTTTTAGAAGCTATCTGTTATCTAATCCAGCGCCTCTGCCACACATATATATCTGTATGGTTTTTGGAGCCTGTCTCAGAACAAGCAAGCTTGAGACAAGTTTTGATCAAATAGGATACTACTAGACACTAGCAATGACCTTAGCACCACTGAAACCAGTATGAGTGAAGTAAAAATAACCTGAAATGTGGCACTGTCTGTAAATAGAATGTACAGCAGAAGAGCTAACAGGTCAAACTCTCCTAAAATTTTTGTATATCTTGCTGTATAAGGATGCCAGAATGACCTTATCACCAGTGATGCAACTCTCAGAAAACATAAAAGGATTTCTTAACTGCTTTGAGGCTCAAGATATCACTTTGTTGTACCAGTTACATTTTGCAATGCATTAACAACTGGAATCCTATCAAAACCTTTATTAATTGAAATGACATGATTTCTTAGTCCAAAATCTGTAGAAGTTTCACATATCTCTAAGGCAAAGGAAACAACACGTCACAAGAGAAGTCACTACATGGATCTTTATGACTGTTATTCAGTGATTAGTGAACCACTTCACCTTCATTGCCCAAAGACATGGTGGCTTATAAATTGAAGGGGTTTGGAAAGTGAGATGATTAAGATAAAATGTAAAAATCCCTATAAATTAAATTGTCTCTCTTAAAAAGCCCTTTTCCTCTAAAAGGTTTCTCTTAGTGCTTCAGAAATATATATTATCTTATCACATGCTGATTTAGTTATATTTGACAAAGTTAGACTGGTGGTGTATTAAACATTGCCAGAGTCTACATGTATCCCTGTTTTTATGCTGCTGGTGTCTTGAATTCTCACAACACTTAAGGATACAAGACCTGACCTTGAAAATTTTGATAGGATTTTATATTTGTAATATGTACACACTTTTAAAATTCTTCTTATAATTATTCTAAAAAGAAACATAAATGGCTCAATATGAAAAAATTAAGCAAATAGTCAATATCTGATACAGATATTGCAATAGAAATGGGTTGACACTATATGATTAAAAATAACAGTACAACACAGTAGTGGTAGTGAAATTATTTTTCTGTGATAAAATAAAGAATGTTTTGTCTGGGTCCTTTTAAATTGTCTCTGAAATGAATGTATCATCTGTTTTGATCAAATTTTCTTTTTGTTTGGGTACTTATATTTTTCTCTGTATGGTTTTTCTACATTTAGACATATTTTATATAGTAAGGTTGATCATTTTTGTCTACATTTTGGTTATCTCAGATCTTTTTATCTGATGCTAAGCAAAACAAAATATATTCAGAAGAACATTTTCAAAATTCATTTTTAGTGTGCTGGACATGTTTCCTTTGTTAACTATGTTTGGTTTTGTATTGTTTGTTTGTTTGTTTGTTTGCTTGTTTGAGACAAGATCTCACTATGCAGTTCAGGCTGGCATTGAACTCACTATGTAGCTGAGGCTGGCCTTGACCTGATGGCAATCCTCCTGCTTCAGCCTTTTGAGTTCTGGGATTATAGGCATGCACTATCACACCTGGCTCCTTTGCTAACTATGAAGAACAAATCTCTTACAGAAAAAGATTTTTGTTTAGAAAACTAAGCTGTGGGATATCTCTAACATCTTCAGTTATGGGGATATGAGTGTAAACTAGGATCTTATTTTGAGAAAAATATTCCTTTTTTTAGGTACATGGATTTCTTTCCAGTTCCATCGAATGTCACCACTGACTTTCTGTTTGAGAAGAGTGCAAATTACTTCCACTCTGAGGAAGCTCCTAAAAGAGCTGCTTCCCTTGTCCCCAAAGCCAAGATCATCACCATTCTCATTGACCCGTCAGACCGAGCATATTCCTGGTATCAGGTAAGGAAAAGGTAGAACCCAACAGGGAGAGAAGGGGTATGGACAATGAAGGATGATATTTAGCAATAGTCACAATCTCAAACTTAGCAAAAGAGAGCTACTAATTGTTTGATATTTACAGAAAAGTAGATAAATGTTTCTTTGTTTCCCTGAAAAAAAACCAACTTTCTCCTTTGCTTTTAATGTTTTATTAATTTAATCAATTTATTTAATAAAACACATTAATATAATAAATTCAAAATATAAGAAGTGAAATAATGTGTGTTTATATACATCTCCATTTAAAAAGTAAATGTTATAATATTTTTAAATTATCTTTCAACTAATACATATAAATTTTGTATAGGGTTAGACAGCAAAATTTCAGGTTTTGCAGGTTATAAATTCTAATTCTGCCATTATATTTTGAAAGCAGACAAAGATAATACGTAAATGAATAAGCATGACTATGTTCCAAAGAAACTTTATTTACAAAATCTGCCTGTAGGCCATAAATTGCTCAGCCAAACTCTAAAAGAAGTTGAATAATTGCTCATATTAAAGAAGCAACTTAGTCACAAAGCATATACAAGAATGCTTCATCTCTGAAAGCTCAACCTTTCCAAAACTGTTCTATACTCACATATACTCATTTGTCATGATGTTTCTGACATTGGGTAGAGCCTAGCACAAAAATGATGACTTTGAAATAATTGAGCACTCCAATCAGAAGACAGGAAAGATTAGATTTGTAAGAGGAGAAACTGAGGTAAAGTTCCAATGGAGTGTTTTAATGTATGCAGATTCGAGCTATATGTAGAATTTGTCCACAGGTCAGGGCTGAAAAGCAGACTAAATTTCTTATTTCCTTCGAAACTATGAAGTTCAGATGAATGTGGAATAGTGTGTATTCAGAGTCTCCTTATCTGAACTCTGCAAGTGGGCTGGACATAAAGCTAATTGCCTGTATTCTAAGTGACCCAAGTAGCTCAGATCCTCCTGGATTTGAAATAACTAAGTATTTACAATCATGACATTAGAGTATACAGTTTCTTAGCACCAAACCCCTTTTGTCATCTAACAAAAGCAGTATTTTGCAGGTTCACAGTGGAAGAATATTGTCAGGAAAGGTTTTTGTGGCAGGGACAGAATGGGAAAATACACAAAGCATACGAAATCCTAGATAAGCATACTGTTAATAATCTGCATAATAGTATTGGAAATATCCTGGAAAGCTAAAGTCCATGGGAATCCACAAGTGCATACTCCTCATTCATGTCACACCTAGAACCATCTTTAAATCCAAATATAGAGCACACCACAAATTGACAAATTTGATTTTGCACCTTTTACCTTTTCCAGGTATCTAGAGAAAAGAGAAATAACCCCTGGCTAACTCAAAAAGAAAAAGAAAATTGGAGCTTGGCAACCACTTAGCCCTTGAAAAATTGGGAATTTACAGAAAAAGGAGGTTTCAGGGCTGCAAGCTAACAAAACATCCTAAATATTGCAAATAAATCACTACACAGTGGTAAAATGCAGCCCTTAACAATGTCTAGTAGAGTTTGTAGTATAGTAATTTGAATCCCAATTGCAGCAAATTTGCTATTCAACTAGTTGTGGTAAGCAGCCATAAACTCACCACTAAGCCTGAATATTTATTGGTCAATTTAAGGAAAAGTTGATTTTCTCAAAACCATGGGCCTGTGCCTAAGCCATTATGAAACACTTTCATTTTTGGATTGCTACTTTCTGCATCTTTTGCACAATGATTCTGATTCACCACAAAGGTTACCATTAGATAAAATAATCTTGGCTTTTAGATGCTAGATAATATATGATAAAAGCTGTGGATTTTAGATAATGTACATGTCAGAGTTTTCAGTAGTTTCTCCATTTAAAATAGCCAATAGAACTTTTCTGATCTAAAACTACATTACTAGATAGAGCAAAACTATTTGGCAGAACTAGTAGAGTGTTTGTGTATTATGGATATTCACTGAGCATGATAAATGATTTGCTTTTGGGCTGAAAAGGAGACATTAATATAACTTTGAAAAGTTTGTTTTCAGAATAAAATGTATACACCAAGGAAGCAACTCAGTAAAGTTGGTTAAGGACTCCTGATAGGAACATAGCCTCTACCAAATAAATTCTCAAAAAATATATTCTCATTAGTGTCATAACTGTAAATTTTGATCCTCCAAGCAAACATTTTCATCTTTATTAATTTCAAAACAAATAATTCTCCAACAGTGAAGCACTCTTTCCTTTAGCTTGAAGACTTGTCACAAAGATTGGTTTTTAATTATTTATGCCTATGGTTCAGGTTAGATTAATTATCCACCTTTTCATCATAGCATCAGCGATCACATGAAGACCCTGCAGCTCTAAAGTTCAGCTTCTATGAAGTCATCTCTGCCAGGCCCCATGCACCCTCGGAACTCAGAACCTTGCAGAAGAGATGTTTGGTTCCTGGGTGGTATGCCAGTCACATCGAGAGATGGCTTGTTTATTTCCCCCCCTTTCAGGTATGAAGCAATAAAATGTATATCCTGTAACAACCTCATTAAGTTGATGATTTTGCCTCCAGGATAGAGGAAATGTTTACTCACTAAAACATTACTAGCTTTTACTCATTCAGTGTAAATAATGAAACTATTCGAAAGAAAAACAAGCAGAGGCAGAAAAAGTTTAATATTCTAAGAGTATTTCAAGATAATTTTCCCTGCTCCATTTTCTAGTGTGTGCCTTTCCTGATTTTAAGAAGTTTCAAAAGCTTCAGATCTTTGATTCTTAACATGAATAAAGCTTGAAAGGAAGCCTTTTCACCAAATAAGACGAATATTGTTTTGCTTAATTAAGTGCCATTGTTTTCTTTCTGAACTACCTTAATGAATTTTTCATAAGTCCTGCAATTTCCTCAAATGTCTTTCTTATCCCTTTAGCTTAGTATCAACTTAGATTACAAAACCAACTCCTACATTGGATTGAATAAAAATCCAGATGTAATGTATGTAAAACCATACTGTCTAGTCTGATAGCTACTACCACGTCTGGCTAATTAAATTTATATTAAAATTAAGTGAAATTAAAAATTCAGTTCCTCATTTGCATTAGGCACATTTCAAATATCCAATAGCTATATATTTAACATGGCACCTGTAGAGCATGTCCATCATCACAGAACAATGCTGAACAATGCTACTCTAGACTAATTGACAGTGCAAAAAAGAGGTCTGGGAAAGAGTTGCATTACAGGCTTTGTGGCCTTCCATCATGACCTATTGCTGGTTTGTCTTGTCTACCCTGACTGAGTAATAAATCCTTTTCCTTAGCTTCTTGCGGAACTTTTGTCCATCTCCACATGGATTATCAAAATATTTCTTTGAACTTTACAGTGCTACTCTTGAATGGAATTGTGAAGAATGACAGGTTTTCTGTCTCATTACACCTGGAACTATTTCTACAGTGTTCCTTCCCAACATGATCCATGGAATCATTGCTCTGTTGGTTTTGAAACTTAGTTTACATTTGTGATTTCACAGTCACATTTCTAAGCTCTCTTGCTTCCCACAACTGGCTTTGTTTTCATGGTGTTTGCAAGACTCCTCAGGTTACAAAACATGAATGTACTTAATTGCTATATTTATTCCTTCCTCCATGTCATGAACAAGGATGACCTTGTCTAACCACAATGCATGCAAATCCCCTCATGAGAGTGTCTCTGAATAAGTTCAGAGTACAGAAATTTTTCATTATACACTTAACATGTCTTTTTTCACTGTGTACTATTATCATTATTGTTATTATTATTGTTCCTTTGGTAATTTAGTTGCTAATTATCGATGGGCAGCAGCTAAGAACTGATCCAGCTACAGTGATGGATGAAGTTCAGAAGTTTCTAGGAGTCTCTCCTCACTATAATTACTCAGAAGCGTTAACGTAAGTTTATATTCCAATTAGTTTATTGAAGTTTCATTAGAAAAATGACTTTAAAGAAATTGTAGCTTGGTAATGCAATTGTCAGATTGCTATTCCTTTGTACTGATATTTTCCAGTTTGACATTAACCACTTGGGAAAGAACTTTGTTTTGCGGGGTGGGGGGGTACTGGGGATCGAACTCAGGACCTTGCGGGAAAGAACTTTTAAACAGCATGACAAGAAATATCCTAAATATCTGTTGTTCCATAACTACTCAAAGATTTTCCCTGGAAGGAAAGTGAAAAAATAAAGTAGTTGTGAATCTGTTTTTTCTGGATCAGACTTGTTTATTAGCATCTGTTTGTAATATATAATAAATACACTCATCCTGGGTAATTTATACATATAAATATTGCATGGTGATCCTTTTCACTTCCTCTTCCCCTCCCTCCCACCTATCTCCCTCATCTCCAGGTTCCCGTCCCATCTCTACAAAGCCTATCTCCCTGTTCCCTATCATCTTTTAGTTTTCTCTTTCAATTATTTATATTTTAGGCTTCTCATATAAGAAAAACCATGTGATATTTAACCTTCTGTATCTGATTTATTTCACTTAGCATGATGGTCTCAAGGTGCACCCATTTCCTTAAAAATGACTCAGCTTTACCTTTTTTATGGCTGAATAATATTCCATTGCATATGAATACCACATTGTCTTTATCCATTCATCTGTTGATAGGCATATAGGCCACTTCCAAACTTTAACTGCTATGAATTATGCTGCTATAAACATAGGTATGCATGTTTGTAAATCAAAACCTACAACTAACCTTAAAAGCAGCTACAGTAGTTTAAATATGTTGTTAAGAACTAGTCTTATTTAACAAACAACAATGGGAGCTCTTAGATGAATGAAGAGGAAATTAACTAGAGGGTTTAGGAACTGACTTTCGCACAATTTTCAGAAACAGTGTCATACAAGAAAGAGTCCAGTGGGTGACAGACTAGGCAAAGAGGGATGTATTATTTTTTCTCAAGTTTATGAATGCATCAATTTTTTGCTTCATCTATACCCCCTATAAATATGACCCTGTCATCATCTTCAGAAGCCAGTTACAGTGCTGGTGTGGTTTTGTTGTTATTGATGGATTTTTTTTTTCTGGTTTCTTCTGCTTTTCTTAGATAATTACCTCCATCAAGGGCACAGCTAAAAGAGTCACTCTCAGGACTAAGCATATGTCTGAGGGAGTGCCTCCTTGAACTTTATTGTCCTATGACTCTTAACTCACTCTAATCCTGGCTCTGTATTTTAAATAAGAATTCCCTTCAGTAACTTTCAATAACACCTCCTCCTTCTCCTTTGGTTGCCTAAAGCAACCAAAAGATATTTAGTTGGATGGCCTATGTACCTGATTATCAACATACACATTTTGTTATATTTCAAGGCTCATGATGGACTGACCCTTAAACAAATTGGAAAAGACTGTATTATGAAATTCTTTCATTGTAGTTTTTAGTATAAAACAGTTTCATAGATCAACTGGTTTTCCTTTCTTTCTTTCGTTTTTTTTTTTTGGTACTGGGGATGGAACTCGTGTCCTTGTGCTTGCTCAGCAGGGGGCAAAACCACTGAGCTAAATCCCTGGCCCTGGTTTTCCTTTCTTATTTTACTCCTTATCCTGTATCAATTTAGAAAGTGAGAGGAAGCTGTCTTTTACCTTTCAGCATCCCTTGCAGTGAAGGATTGGCAGGGAAAAAAAATCAAATACTTCTTCTATCTTGTAAAAATCATATGTAAAGACACATAAGAGAGAGTCATTTGGGTATAAAGGACAAAGGAGTAGGTGGAAATCTGGAGTTTTGAGCTACCTTCCTGAGAGCCATCTACTTTGTTGTTATTATTAACATACTGACCCCTGTTTTCTATACTACTAATGTGTCAGAATTTTGTAGATCTTAGTTCAAGTACTAACAGACACTAGTGATAAGTACTTAAAATTCAACTTCAACTTAAGATGAGTGATTTTAGTTTGCAGGTAGAAATTCAAGTTTTCTTTCTGCTTTATATCTTTTTAAGCATCTCTTAGAAAAGATAGCTTTTATTTTTTAAACAGTTTTCTATTTCAAGTGGGCTTATCTTTGAGTCTTTTATATAGGTTACATGGCACATGATTGTATTTCAGAAAAGAAGTGGAGTATTCTCTAAAGACATCATCTCTTTTTCTTATGGAATGGTCCTTGACCTGCATGCTGTGTATTTGTCCCTTCTGTATCTAGCTCAGCAGCAAGCTTTTTATTCATCTCTACTGCTGAGAAAAGGCAATGTAAACTTAAGAGAATTAATCTCAAAGAAACATACTATACACAAAGAACTGTGGGTCATTTTGCACCTGGGATGTATCTAGCTAAAATTACCCATTATATGATTCTTTTACCTGGTTGGAGGCTCAGTGGGCAAAGTAGCAAGATAAGATTTGTGTAGTCCCTGAAACAAGGGTTTCTGGTCCAGAAGGGTTACCCAGGCTCTCACCAGCTGATAGAGATAATGCCTTTCCATTCAGCTTCTTTTTTATATTTTCTTGTCAGTCATCAGTTTGCCTGACATACCTTGTAAAACCCAGCAGCACATTTGTAGGATATTAGGAAATTTTATGTCACTGTCTTAGGTCTAAAATGATCATTCTTCGACCGATGCCCTTTGCAGTTGTTTATTGGAACCCTATGCTCACCATTTAGTTGCTCTTGTTACTATGTACTGACAGTTGTTGGTGTGGTGCTTTGAAATATTGCTGGGCATGGTAGCACACACTGGTAATGCCAAACCTCGGGAGGCTAAGGCAGGAAGATTGTCATGAGTTTGAGGCCACCCTAGCCTGCATAGTAAGACTCTGTCCCCAGAAAAAAGAAAATATTAGAGGTGACTATGGATACAAAATGTATGTTCTCAGCAATATCATTTATACCACTTGCCATGAGATCCTTTGTGTATGTTAGTATTGCTTCTTATTCTGCTAGTGAGAGTGAAGACTATCTCTGATGCTAAAATTACTTATTTTTTCAGTTAAATTCCCCTAAGGAAGTATTAAATTACAAATCAGTATGAATTTTCCATTAATCACATAAATTCTGTGCTCTTACACAGTACAGAAAAGTGAATGAAATTTGCTCTGGGGATTTAGCTTAGAGGTAGAGCACTTGCTTAGCAAGTGCAAGGCCCTATGATCGATCCTCAACACCAAAAAAAAAAAAAAAATTTTAATTTTTAAAATCTAGTTCTATACGTAGGGCCGGGGATTTAGCTCAGTGGTTCTGGCGCCTGCCTCGAAAGCACAAGGTCCCAAATTTGAGCCCAGGTACCCAAAAAAAAAAGACATTTGCAGAAATTAAAGAGGCAGAATTGAAAATCACTGAGTCATCCCTGGAACCTGTCTCTGGAGCCAACCACGTAAACTTTTACTAATAAATATTATATCAACAAACTACAGTACTTCTTTTAAAAAGCTGGAACCTTAACATGAGCTTTTTATGTTGTATCAGATTATTAAAACAGAAACCATCTCTAGATATACTGGATATCACTTTGTAAATAAATGTATAATTCTAGACATATAAAATTTAAAACCACATTGAGCTATCATTACATACCCAATAGAATGACTGTAATCCAAAAGATGAACTATATGACTATAATTCAAAGGACAATTTAAAATCTTGGCAAGAATGTGAAGAAACTAGAAACTTTATATATGGTTAATGTTAATACATAATATATGGCCACTTTGGAAAGTAGTTTTGCAGCTTCTTGAAATTTGAAAACAAACTCAACAACAATCCAACTCTATTGGTAGGAATTCACCTTATAATAAATTAAAACCTAAATCCAAAACAATTTTGAAGTGGAAGTTCATAGCACCATAACTCGTACAGCTAAAAATGAGAAATAATCCCAATATTCATTAATTAGAATCAATTAATTTGGTATATTCATGCCAGAAAGGACATGTCAATATATGACAAATTTATAGTTCAAAAAAAAGATTATTAGTTGCCTAGGATGGGGAGGTGAAGACAAGGATTAACTACAGTGAGCTCTAGTGATTTTTTGAGGTGATAAGAATGTTCTAAAACAGGATTGTGGTGATAGTTGTACAACTATATTATGCTAAGTATCATTGAAAAAGTGAACAATGCATGTAGATTATACCTCAAAAAACTGGTAAAAGTAAAATATGTATCTTTGCAATAATTCATTGAATCATAAAAGTATGGTTGTCAGAAAAGAATTTATTTTAAAAAGTAATTTATGTGCTTGTCCTATATTAGCAAGCTTAATGATGGCATTTTGATTTGAAATTTATCTGCACTATTTCTGAGTGGAAATGTTATTTTAATTTAAAGGCATTTCAGTCATACTTTAAACTTTTAAGTGTTATCTGAATGTTCCCTAGGATTTATCTACCTGAAATGAATCACATTTTTATTAATATAAAGAAAAGTGTCATTATTTAGAGGTTGACTCCTTGGAGAATCTTGGTTCCCTGCCCACCAGTTTCTTCTGTTTATTTGTAGAGGTTCCTGGGAGATAGACTGTCATACTTTACTCTTAAATTCAACATAGAATGACTATTATGTCCATGACTTTTGGGACACAATGATAAAAATATCCCTACCTCCAGGATAGGGTAGCCATTCAGACAGACACTAAACAGCACATAACACTTCTAAAATGTTCACTTTCTGATAGCTCTCAAAGGACAGGTCCAGCCATGACCATGGCTGCCAGTGCCTGAATAAAAATGTTTCTTCTTTGTTGTTCCACCAAACATCAGTGGTACTAAAGCTTTTGTTGTAGTCGTACCACAAACTATTCTGAATATGTGTAGGGACACCTTTCTCTATATTTTGTTAAATTTCTTCACTTGGGCTCTGAAGCAGTATTGCTATGTTCTTCATCAACAGAATTCCCTTCACCTTCTCTCTGTGGCTGATGTCTATAAGACACCAGTCCAAGTCTTTCTGG